GTTTTAATGGTAATCACGAGACGGAAGATAATGAAGAGGAATCGTATATAGAGATGACTATCAATGAGATAATGAATGGTTACGGAAATGAATTCCCGGGTTTAATACCACTAATCAGGGAATATGTGGGCAACATATCACTGGACGCTCAGACCTATTGTAAAGTCCAACAATATATCCAATTGATTGCCGATAAATCGTCGGCAAAACTCCAGACAACCGCCCAATGGATGAGAGATTTTGTGCGAAAACATGCGGACTATAAATACGATTCTGTGGTCAACGAGAAAATTACTTACGATTTGTTAAACACTTTAAATCAAATACAAAATGAAAACTTAAATGTCAAGGAATTGGTCGGAGTTTACAGACAAACTATTTGTTAAATACAATGATTATCTAAAATTAAAAAACTAATATACAGTTATGCCAAACTGTTATAAATTTTATGATAACATTTTTATCAAGTACAGTATAATTTAGTTTTTCCCAAAATAAAATAAAGCACAACATTATTTATGCAAATAATCACGTTGATAAATCAATTAATAATACTTGTAACAATATAAATCACAAAAAATAAACAATTACCAAGTTAAATTAATCAAAAAAAAGTTTTATGAATGCGTCCGCAACAGGACTCGAACCTGCAATCTCCTGATCCGGAATCAGATGCCTTATCCATTAGGCCACGCGGACTGGCAGTGAAAGTGATGCTTCTATAACGAGATTGTGAGCGCTATATGAACTGGTATATGCTATAACATGCTTAGAAGTTTATGCATGTATTGCACTCATTGCGTAAATAAATGCATTGATATCTTAAAATCAAGTAATTTGTAATTTGTATTAAATAAATAAATGTTTATTTATTAAATAAATATCAATTAAAACCTATTATAAATTCTATAAAATCAAATCAAATTACTGTGAATTCAATTCAATAAGTACAATACATGCATAATCTCCTAAGCATGTTATAGCATATACCAGTTCATATAATCAACAATACTATTGTGACTATTGTTTGACACAACAAACCACTACTTATTGTCATTCAATAGCCGTAAAGTTACTGTCAATTAAATGCTTATATTTTACATGCATTTTATTCACTATTTATTATCATTTAACGATTATTTATTGATTATTTTGCACTATTTATATATTAGTCTTGTTTTACACATTTTAACATACATTTTATTGGTTCAACAATTTCAATAGTTTCATATTTTATTTACAAACATTATAGTTAATATCAACCATTTTACCATAATGCACGTTTGTAATATATTTAAAACTTTAAAAAACAATCATTTATTTAACACAAATTATTTCTAATTGTAATTATATTTGTACTAAATTATAGTAATATTAATAAATCTAATGGCAATTAATATATTGAAATTCTCATAATGTAGTCATTTTGTAAATGCCTTAAATACCCTCATCACTAATGTCTGGCTGTACTACAGTAGTGCTTTAGTTATCGTTATACATTTTCACCCACATCAATTTATATCATTTTAGACTTTTTTAGTTATATTAAAATGAAATTTATTATTAAAACTCTTATAATTTATAAATAATTGATGAAAAATTTCCATCATGCATAAAGTTGATGATACTTTTTTGATAAAAGTTGAGTTTTATAAACTCCCAAACGATTTAAAGCATTTTCTATGAGTTATATAAATATATAAATAATTTCATGAATTTATGAAAACAAATCTACATTTGAAGGGAAAAATTAGTCTAATTTAACAAAATAAGTAAATCATACAAATTATACAAATCAATTGCCAAACATGTATACATATTTTATCATTGCTTTTACATCAAATCAAACTTTTAATCTATTCAACCGTTTAAAGTGCATCAGAGGTGCCCGCAGTCAGTACTACCTCAATGTTTAAGTACAGAAAGTACAGTAAGTAATGTAAGTACAGTATTGCCATTTGTACCATAATGCATTATAAAACTTTATTGTTTAATTTGTTTTTCATTACACAATATACATATAATTTATATGAATCTCATTTATTTTTAGATAAAAGGAAATTAAAGTATTGTTTACCGAAAATATTGCACAAATAATTGAAAACTACAGTATATTTTGCAATACAAACCACTCCTGGTTTCCCATCAGTTAGTTATATAATTTAATAAAAACGAGTTTTGTCTCAATAGAGGTAATGTCTTGATGTCTGATTATGGTATTAATAGATCAGTTCCGAGAAAATACTTTTTATTCACAAATTTAATAAATATTAATTCTCCGATAATATGCTTAACTCAATGCAATCCCTATATAAATGTTTGTCCACTTTATATAACATTTTATTTGCATTCAAACATTCAATGAGAATATAATCTCAATTTTATGTCATTTATTAAATACAGAACTTTTAGCAAAGAAATAATAATCAAAATTTGTTTTATATTTACTGTAAATAGAGTTAACCTGGTGATTTAGATATGAAAGTATTATCACTCAAATTGTTCACTACTTTCTTATTAATAATATTTGTTGAATCGATTCCCACCAAAAAGGAGTGCCAAGAATTAATGGCAGCTATGGATACATATAATAGTAACTATATTTTTAAATTATAACATGATCAAAATATTCATAAACTAGTCTCCCACTAACATTTGTAACCAACTATTTACAGTACAGATAGAGGACCTTGCTACTGTGAATGGGGCCGGTATTGACAACATATACGGCTTATATGCCGACTGTTTGCGGGCCCGGGAAGGCATCCGATTTAAACGCAAGTTTGTCAACATTTCACCACAAATTTTTGACAATTAATTATTAAGTTATTGTTAACTCATTATATTTCTATACTTTTATTGTGTTTAACAAAAAATTGAATTTTTTATTTATTTTATTTTATCTGTGTTAAAGCTGTAAATTAAATTTATACATTTATTTGTTATTAATATAATTAAAATTTTACTATTATAACGGACTTAATGACAATTCACTCATTTTACTGCACACATCTATGTTAAAAAATAAATAATTTTAATTTTTTACAATATATTTTACAGTTAATATTATGGAATCATATTTGATATATTTATTTTCTAATTTACTTTTTTAATATTTAATTAATTCTTAATAATAATTAATAATGTTTACCATATTGTGTAACAGATTTAATAAACAGAATTTAAATAAACCGATTTAATTTTTTATTTGTATAATTTAGCATGATTTTTAATTTATTGATTCTGTTGAATTGTTTACTTATTCTTAAAGTACGTCAAATTACATAAAAAATTGTTAATATTTAATTTATTGCTAATTTAATACATATAAATTTATTACGAATAACATTATACAAACATTTCAATATTTATCAAAAGGATAATTATTTACAATTATATATAAATAAACATTATTTTTATTATACACTTGTATGATTTAATGTACACGGTACTTATAAAGTACTTATTATTATAATATCAACCTATCTTACTTCTAATAAATAAATTGTTAAAAATTTAACTTTAAATAGATAACATTTAAAATTTTGATATTGAAAATTAGTTATTGCAACTTACTCAAAATACACAATAAATAACCAAATTATAATTATTAAATTGTAAAAAATTAACTTTACTCAATTATTATAACATCAAATAAAAGGCAATAAAATTTCTACACATTAAGATATGATAAGTTGCGAACAGTATTTACTACTATTCATATTCTGTACAAACTTATCATGTATATTGTCATACAATAAAGCGGGTCCACTCATATCAACGTCTCTCATATGTTTTAGTCGTTTCAATAGACGAATACCCTTAGCGTCGGACGCGAGGCCGGGTATGGGTGGGAGGGGTCGACACTTTCGGTTACAATTGCTGTCAAACACATCGATCGCATCAAAAGGAGTAAAATTTGTTGAATAAAATCTCGGATAATATAACTTCAAAACACTGTCGGAAAGTCGTTCAATACTATCGGGCATTACTACTGTCTCGTTATTTAGCACACGATTAATGGCCCGGATATTAATGTCGTGAACAGAGCACAGCCTACCGAACCCAACCTGTAGTGCCTCGTCGACTGTTACGTCAAAATCGTCTAAAATATTATTATTATTTAAATTTATTGCTAATTCTTTGGGCACCAAATTGTTATCATTTTGCAATTGCCATCTTAACAGAACTAGATCATTGTTGAACTCGTTAAGTAGATAAAATATTGCACTAAAAAATACAAAATTAAAAATAATAAATTATATTATACATTAACCATGGTTGCTTACTCGTATGGTGCCCTATTATTGCTTAAATGACCATGATTGCCGCCAATTGAGAGCTGGTCTTTCAGTAATCTAACCAAATTGAGTCCAACATATTTATCCCAATTATCGGCCGTTTGCAAAATAAATGTCAAAAATTCTGGTGAAGTTAATTGTGGTAAAACATCGTCTCGACTCCACTCCCGAGTTATGCATTCACTTATATTAGCCAACAGACCATCGCTAACACAATAATCATTGTATTTATTGCCGTTGTGTCCAAAATAGTCCCAAACTATCGAGTATTTACCGTTTGAGCCATCAATCGCTGAGCCCTAATGTAATTGCAAAACAATGCCATTAATGCACACATACGAACATTTACCTTACTATTTCTAAATGACCCAGTACGGTAATGTGATGTCTGGATTGATCCGTCTCATCTCAATTTCAAACTCGTTGGCAAACCATCGCAACCAAAGCGGGTATTGTTGAGAATTAATACCTCGTTTCCAATTACTTTCATATACTTTTGCAAACTTATTCATAACTCCCGATGAATACAATTTGTTAAACACATCCATCACATCCAACCTCTGCTCGTGTGTTAAGCATTTGAAATCTCGGCGGACATGGAGTTGAGCGCAGGGAGGCTGTTGTGTCTTAAAACGTGTATTTGTGGTAAATCTCTTCTGGATGTAAGTGCGGGCCCTCTCTATCTCCTCGTCGGTTATCTGCATATGTTGTGGACATGTTTTGTGCATTTTTTGTATGCAATCTCTTTCATAGGCTAATGGATTATTAAATATATATTTATATTAAAATATGGCAAACATTTATAAGAGGATTACCTTTTAATCCATTCAACGAAACCGCATATTTTGATTCGGCGTTGCATTCAATGAAATCTATTTTTAAAATAAAAGCAATTAAAATGTATTTCACTTTTTCGTTCATTACATTAAAAAAATCAATTTTAAGTAATTATAAAAACATAAATTTGTTAATAATTTTCTATTAAGTGAATTGAGCCTGCTGTTTATTGCCAAACAAAATACAATGTGCGCAATTAATAATAAATTATTATTAAGTTACCCCGTTTTTGCTAACAGACATACAATCACACATTTACTACTTGTGTCCTATTTGTTAACTAGTAATTAAATAAAACTAAAACATTAATTTTTTAATCAGAATTTATTTTTGTAAAATATTTATTGCAATTTTATTTGTGCCGAAAATATAATTAAAAAGTTTTATAAAATGTTATGTAAAACAACTAATATTATTGTTGTAATTATATACTATTTAAATATTTGTATTCTCGCAGTCTATTCACAAAAATCAAACTCTGAAAAAATCCAATCAATTCGTGAAAATATAATCAGATATTATGGCAAAAGTATTGCTTCGGATGTCGAGTCCATCGCCAATTCAAACTGGTTTATTGAGAGATATCTCACTGAACATAACTGTACAAAATTAACTCATCTCTCTCTCTCTCTCTCTCTCTCTCTCTCTCTTTCTTTCTCTCCACTCCCACTCACTCTCTCCGACTCTTATTAAATATAAATAATTTTAATTGAAATTATTTTTGCCATAAAATGGGACGAAAGACAAGGAAAGAGAAGCTGAAAAGGCAATTATAGAGGCCTTCGATTTCTTCCATAAGGAAAGACTCCATCAGTTAAGCGACACATTCTTCCCGTCGGAGGGCTTCGCGACGGGCGGTATGTATCGGTTCGGGAGGTCTAAGTTTGGACAGCCATTACTCGGGGTTGTGATGAACCACATCCGCCCATTTGGGCTCCGGTTGGCCAAGGATTCACTGATGAAATTAACGCAAAAGTACTGCTTATATAATGTCTATCGATCACTGTTTGACGCGAAAGAGAGTAATTTCATCATTTATGTGGTCTTCACGAATACAACCCTTGAAAACACTGAATTTAGTGAGTATTACATCACTTTCATGCAATACAACTAGGATTACCATTTTCTATCTAAATGTAAGCTTATGCTACTTTAATTTATTAATATTTAGCTTATTATATAAATAGATGTATAAATGTTAGAGTATAGCTTATCGTTAAGTCTTACTTATTATTCGCAAACTTGGTAAATCCAGGGAAAATGCCATACTAAATAGTCAACAATTTACAACTTACTTACAAGTTAGAAATAAAATGTAAAATATAAATCAACTAACCCACCATGTTAAGGCTTATTCCAGCGGACCATGATGGCAATTAATCGATACATAGCGGGCGCGGGCGCTATCAAGATATACGTGGTTGGGATGAACAAACTGATGGACGTGTCACTCAAACTACTGGTCAATCTACTGAAACCAACGCTTAAACAGCGCATTCATTTCATTGAGCGAATGGATCAGATGGAGGATCTCATCAGTTTGGATGAGGTGCAATTTAAAAATACTGAACAAAAATACGAGAAGTACTCCAATGAACACCGTTTTCACGCAACGGGCGGTCGACGCGAGTGAATGCAACCCTCAGTGCTATCCTATGCCATACCCGCCGGCGTATACGTCGGACGCCAACGGTCGCCGACAGTTGGATAAAATGACCAATGATTGGGGTATTAATTTGGGTGCACCCATGCAAGTGGCCGACATCATCATCAAATTGCTTATAACCGTGTTTAATAAGATGGGCTTTTGTTCAGCCTATGTAACCTCACCGCCCGATCCAATGGCAGCCCTCCCCGCTAGGAAAGTACATAAAAAGCCTAAAAAATCTGCCAAAACATTTAAGAAGTCAATCAAAGAAATCAATTTTATGGATAATTTTATTGATGTTTTGATGAAAAATTATACAAATTATTTTGAAAATTTAGTTAAATTTAATTAAATATAAAAATTATTGTTCAATAATTACGTAGTAATTAATACATTATTTGACATCTATCAGCACTTTGTGGCTAAAAAATAAAAATATAATAAATGATATAAAAGGCAGGGAAATCATAACAAGTTTTAATGGCTATAAATATCGATGGATTGGTTTTAATATATTTTTCAAAAATTAAAATTACCTCCACTTTCGAGTCTTCCCTCTTCGATAAACTTTGTATTAACCTTAATAAACAAATCCCAATTGCTTTTGAATATATGCAAAAATAGTGGAGGGGGTTATCAAAAAATATTGATAATAAAATTAATATAAATTGACTTATATTTGTGAAAACCAGAATAATAAAATTATGCAAAATTAACACATTTATCATTATAAACATATGGGCTTTCAATAAATTAACTTAAACTACAAAAAAGTAATTAAATTGTTGTTTTAATTAAAAGATTATAAATAAATATCTAATTACAAACATTTAGTGAATAAGTGATAAATTATGAACAACAGTGTTTTACTGTATCAATATAACCCTTGCTAAGATTTTAAGTTAACAATAATAATTGTTAATACCGTTATTTTATAAAATTTTAAAGGTATTTAGTTTATCGTGATTACATTAAAATATACATTAACCAATAAAATGATTATAAATAATACATTAATTTATCCGGAATATCTAGAATTGAACACATATTTCCTATTATTATTGGGTCTCTCATCACAACCTTTCAAATATTGTTCAATGGATGTGGAGTTTGATTCTCTCATTCCCTCTTGAATTGCATTTACATTCATGTCTCGGAAAATATCCCATTCCTTAGCACTGATGTAACTTAAATGCTGTAAACATTTGCCGCTTCGGACGCCGGCGGGTATGCGTTGAAACTGTGTGTTGTGTCCGCCCGCGTGCACCGGCACCTCATCCAAACTGATGAGATCCTCCATCTGATCCATTCGCTCAATGAAATGAATGCGCTGTTTAAGCGTTGGTTTCAGTAGATTGACCAGTAGTTTGAGTGACACGTCCATCAGTTTGTTCATACCAACCACGTATATCTTTATGGCGCCCGCACCCGCTATGTATCGATTAATGGCCATCATGGTCCGCTGGAATAAGCCTTAACATGGTGGGTTAGTTTATTTAGATTTTATTTCTAACTTGCAAGTAAGTTTTAAATTGATAATAATTTATATTTATGTTGACAATTTAGTATGGAATTTTCCCCTGGATTTACCAAGTTTAAAAATAATAAGTAAGACTTAACGATAAGCTATACTCTAACATTAATACATCTATTTATATTATAATACAGTGTAAGCTAAATACTGTATTAATAAATTAAAAGTAGCATAAGCTTACATTCAGATCAAAAATAGTAATCCTAGTTGTATTGCATAAAAGTGATGTAATACTCACTGAATTCAGTGTTTTCAAGGGTTGTATTCGTGAAGACCACATAAATAATGAAATTACTCTCTTTCGCGTCAAACAGTGATCGATAGACATTATATAAGCAGTACTTTTGCGTTAATTTCATCAGTGAATCCTTAGCCAACCGGAGCCCAAATGGGTGGATGTGGTTCATCACAACCCCGAGTAATGGCTGTCCAAACTTAGACCTCCCGAACCGATACATACCGCCCGTCGCGAAGCCCTCCGACGGGAAGAATGTGTCGCTTAACTGATGGAGTCTTTCCTT